ATCTTTCTTTGGTGTTAGTTCTAGAAGGTTTTGTAAGTCTTCATTTTGTTGTTTAGTTGTTTAGTCGCGTCCGACTCTTCGTGACGTCATGGACCAGAGCACACCATGCCCTCCTGTCTTCCACTGCCTCCCGAAGTCAGGTAAGAACTGGTCAATTTCAGTCTCTTCAGCTTTGATGGTTGGTGCATAAACTTGGATTACTGTGATATTGTAAGATCTGCCTTGGATTCGTATTGAAATCATTCTATCATTTTTGAGATTGTATCCCAGTACAGCTTTTTCCACGCTTTTGTTGACTATGAGGGCTACTCCATTTCTTCTACAGGATTCTTGCCCACAATAGTGGATATGATAATCATCTGAATTGAATTTGCCCATTCCCCTCCATTTTAGTTCACTTATGCCCAGGATGTCAATGTTTATTCTTCCCATTTCCTGTTTGACCACATCCAGCCTACCAAGATTCACAGATCTTACATTCCAGGCTCCTATGCAGTATTTTTCCTTGCAGCATCGGCCTTTCCTTTCACTTTCAGGCATGTCCGCAGCTGAGTGTCCTTTTGGCTTTGGCCCAATCACTTCTTTAGCTCTGGAGCTACTTTTACTTGTCCTCCACTCTTCCTCAGTAGCATGTTGGATGCCTTCCGGCCTGAGGGGCTCATCTTCCAGCGTCCTATCTTTTAGCCTTTTGTTTGTGTCCATGGAGTTTTCGTGGCACTGTAGTGGCTTGCCAGTTCCTGCTCCAGGTGGATCGTGTTTAGTCAGAACTCTCCACTATGATCTGTCCATCTTGGGTGTCCCTGCACGGCATAGCCAATAGCTTCTCTGAATTACTCAAGCCCCTTCACCACGACAAGGCAGCGATCCATGAAGAGGTTTATCGCTATACTGCACCTAAAGAGATCACAATAATTCCTACAGATCTATTTCATGTGATACAACTTTATTCTTTTCAATTCCAACTGAAGTATTATCTTTTCAAGCCTTTCCAAGTGTTTCCTTACAGGTTTGGGGAATTTACATTACTTTAGCTTTTTGTTTTTCCTCTGTTTCTTTAATCTTTCTCCTAAAAGAGATGAGGTTGAATTTCCCTTATGCCTTTTCATATTTTATCAGTGCACATAAGCACCATCCAAGAGCTGCACTCACAGGCAACTATGCCATCAAATGTTGATTCCTACAACTTAAGCAACTGGCTGTAGAAGCAATAAGTAAGCACCTTGTCAGCTGCTGTGGTTAGCATGAAGAGATTTCACAGCTGTCACTATTTTTTCGTGCACAATCCTGTTGACATCACTCAGCAAACACTTGTATTGCTGAGGAAATCAATACTTTTCAGTATTCAAACTGCTAAACAACTTCCTGGAAAATAATTATTATTCCCCCAGGAAACATAGTGATCAAAGATGTGGGAAAGAAAATGTTTCACCGCTATTATATTTCCAGGATGTTTTTTTTTTTAAGCAAAAGGAACAAGTTTTAGAATATTTTTTCATAAAATTAACTTGAACACAATGAATGGATACAATGCCAACAAAATGTGCTGTTTCACACTTGTTTCTTTTCCTCCCATATTCCTACAACCACTGGAATCATGATACTGTACTTTGCATAACCATTTGCCTAAGGAGAGTTCCTAAACTAGAAGCTGGGTCCATCCATTTCTCTCTATTACATAGCCGATGTATATTTACACTCATACACACTAACATTCCATGGAGATGAATAC